GTGTCTGGTTATTTTAATTCACTATTTATAGTTATTTAATAGTACTTTTGCCTTTCTGTGATGAATTGTTCCCATAGTTATATAATTTTAATTTTTTTTATAAAGATTTAAAAATAAAAATTAATTCACTCTATTTATCTCAATCAATTTTTAATTATCTTGGTTTTTTATTAATCTCATCTATACTCCAATATTCTCAAATCACTTTCAGCTTATTTTCCAATAGTTCGTTATCCTAAAAATTATTTTTGTTACTAAAGATATCAATCTCTTAATTTTAATCCTAATTATTTATAAGAAAATCTAGTCTTGCAGTTTAGGATCTAAAATTTATTGTTTTACAAAAAAAAGATTAGTTTATTTATAGATTTACAACATTTCTTATGCTTATCAACATTATTCCATCTGAACTATAGTGTTTAACACTACCTATAATTAATCTAATTATATTAAAATCTAATATGTCAAATTTTCTATTTTTCTTAATTAGTTATTATCGAAATTCTTAAATGAGTCTTATTTGTTATAAATGTAATAACTGTTGACAAGCAGTTTAGATACTGATTGATTTCAATGATAATCTCTGGGCATCAATTTCTATTAATATTCAAGCAAGCTACGAAATTGTCATATTCTACTATAATTAGTATGGTAGTAGCACAAGGCAGTAAGAGAGATATAGATCAGTAGATACATAAAAACTGCTTGCATTAAGTTCTGAAAATTCAGATCTGTAATTTTATCAGCAAAATGACTCGCGGCTAAAAATCTGATTGACAGAGTTTACTTAATTAAAAAAAAAATAAAACATAAGAATGTTAGAGGTGAAATTATTTCTAATCATTAAAAAATCCACCAATCTAAATTACTTCTATTGTTATTAACGCAATTAATTTATTATATTAAAAAATTAATATGTGAGTAAATATTTTCAAATTTATATTTTGCAGGTATTCAAATTTCTTTAAAATAAAAAATATTTTGAATATTCGCATAATAGAATGTATAAATTGTAAAATAGTTCAGCAAGAATGGCATAAAATGCAAGTACTATAAAAGTTGATAGTTGTTTTGGTAAATAATCAATAGCCTCTGTGAATTCTATGGATTAAAAAGAGGTTTAAGAGAATTCAGCAATTAAAGAAAGTAACATTTTAAGAATATAGTTAAAAATAATCTTAAATGAAGTATTTTTGAAAGAATGGATTAATAGAGTGGATAGGATTCATAAATAAATCGAAAATGGAACTATTTAAAAATAATAAAATTAAACTCAAATTTAAAATCATAAGGATATGATAATAATAAGTAACAAACTCAAAATCTTAATGGAATAGATTGTAATATAGTTTTAAGTGTATTAAATCGTATAAAAGGTGTGAATAAGATGTGTGCTAGATTTCTAATTAAAAGTTAAGAAAATATAATTTTATCAGACTTAGCTACAGTTTTTAAGTGTTTTACATGATCCTAAGTTAAAAGATGAACATAAATAAATCTCATTTAGTTTAGATCCAATAATTATACCAAATCAATAGAAATTTAAGTAATAATAAAGAGTTTGTTGGCCTTATGCTTATGTAGAACGAAATATTATTTAAGATACTGAATTGGCTAAAATATTATTTGATGCAGATTATTTATTAAAATTAATGAGTTTAGGTGTTGAAAGTGATAGAAAGACTCCTTTTAAATATCCATTAGAGTTATAATAATTAGGATTGAATTCAAATTCATCTATGGGAAAACAAAAATAATAATAAATGTTATGTAGATTTTGGCTTATTCCTTAACAATGTTTAATTAACAATAAATATGTAATAGATGATATTTTAGTTGATTGTTAAGCTAGGTAATTAGAAAGAGTAAATAATAATAAATTACAAGATAAAATATGCCAAGATGTTAATGATAAAGCATATTAATTTGCTGCTAAATTTACTTAATTATATGATAAAGCAAAATATTATCCAATTTTTAATAGATTGAAATAATTATTCAAAGCAGTTGCTTTAGGAAGATGGATATTTATTAAATTTAGATTAAACTAATGTTCTATTCATAATGAATATAAATGTTATTTGTGTCTAGATTTAATTACATCTTAAGATCTTAAACCAAAAAGTTGTATTATCAATAATTATAGATATATTTTTCATTAGAACTGTTACAATGAATATTAAGAGATTATAAATAGAAAACATGATGATGATGATGATTTATATTGAATTTTATTCTATAATATATTTATTTGTTAAATTTCCTAAATACTCATAAGATTTGTTCGAATTTAAAAAATGATATTGCCTATATATTATGATTTTAACTTAACTTTGATTGTTCTATTGTGAAACAGTTTGATGATAACCTAAATATAATCCTCCAATAAACCCAAAAATACTTATTAGATGTCATTAATTTGGTGTTTTAAAGCGAAAATTTTCATATGGTTCAAAATACTACCTAGTTTAAAATATAAAAGCTGAGAAGTTTTATGAATATCTAATAATATTAACATAGAAATGATAAGTAAACTACACTAATACATGAATTGAAGGATTTCACTTTATATATAATAGGACAATAATCAACCTTTTGAGAAAGTGAAATTAATCTTATCCTTAAAAGTATATAAGATTTAAATAAACTTGAATATAAATAAATCCAAAAAGTTGTAGGAACTAATTTATTATTTATCATATTTTATATAACCTTAATTAATAATACTTACAACTTTGATAAATGAAAAATTAAAGATCCAACTAGAGTTGATACAAAAAACAACTATTTCAGCACTTTCTATGACAACTACTAAAATATTACAAGCTCAAGAAACAAAGTATTATAAAATAGTATATAAATTTTATAAATCTACATTCAGAAATTAAATTATTAAATATTATCATCTAAATAAAAACATTATACAAATTATTTGAAT